GGAACAAAGTCCGGTATCAGAACTCATCGTCCTTATAGAACTCAATATGGAAATAAATATCGTCTTCAGATAATGCACTCCGATATAGGTTAAAGCATTTCCTGGGCGCTGGGTTGGGCGTGATGGACAAATTCCGTGGCCTCCACGCTCACCCGATATTATGCCGCGTGATTTCTTCCTGCGTGAATACGTTAAGAACATTGTTCACAAGACCCTTCTGACGTCACTCGATGAGCTGAAGCTCAGAATTGTTGCTGCGATCGAAAAAGTTACACTGCAAACGCTGGAGAAGCTTCGGAGGGTAACTGAATACCGCTTGGACACTGCGTGCCCCGAATGGCGCGGATATTGAAGTTGTTTAGCATTTTGCAGTATTGACTCTATAATGAATAAAACTATTTGAGTTACATTTTTATATTCCGTTGCTTTTATTTTATTCCTTCCGAATTAAAAATTATAGGCCACGAAAATGCCGACAATAATTTAAAATCACAATGTATTTTCAAAAGTTGCAACCGTAACAGGCAACAGGGCTGAGACCTTATCAACTCCAAAGTATGCCAGTCTCAGACCATAGAAATTGACACATCGAAGCTCAGCTTGCCATTATCTGCAAAGAGTTGGGCACTGCTGACTTTCAGTACTAGACAGTCAAGAGTTCACGATTGATGAGAAGTCTGCTTCACGGATGGTTCTTGTTGTTGTCTTCCATGACAAATATCTTCTTCGGCCAATCAGTTCTAACTTATATATATAGTTTTCGGCCTCTTTTCTTGAGCCAATCAGAAGTACAGTCAGAAAAAATTCTTCTTGTCTATGAACCCCCCTCGGTTTGTAAACTACCGCAATAAAGTCGTGGCCAAAGCGCGACAGCATACTGCAGGAGAAAACTGGTCCTGGCTTATTGATGTCTCCAATTGTTAAATTAACATCCTCATCTTCATTACTTAAAGTCACTCTATCAGATATCTTAAGATGAGGGGCCACATCCTCCAGAGAACCTTGCCAATTGCAACAGTTCTCTGGAAACGGGCAGGAGTATGGCCGGAATTCACACGACTCTTCGTGCTGCCTCCTCTCAGTGATTATAAGCTTTACTTCACAGCCATGTGTTGCATAGTTACATGGCAGCAGTATGTTGTTTGCAATCTCCTCCAGTCCACGGTTCCGAAAGACTCCCATAGGTATCCTGCACACTGCACAAAGAGTCAATCTCGGATGACAATTCGGGCAGATCACATGACCGTTATCACATTGGAGAATAGGAGGCTCAATATAACTATAGCACACAGGGCACTGGAAT